CTTGGAGGGCTGAAGCAGAAATATTGAAAATTGGCCTGTCTGGGCTACAGAGCAAATTCAAGGCCATCATGGGCAACTTAGACCATGACTCAATTGGAAGTAAAAAGGGTTGGGGATGTGGCCCTTGCCTAGCATAGTCAAGGCCCTGGGTTCAACCCCAACATTACAAATAAACATTATGAAATATTTCAGCCATATGCTTTTATTCATCCATGATTCCTAACAGGATGAATCAGCGCTTAGCATGTAGTTGGCAATTCAGATATTCACTGAATGACTAAAATAGCCCAAAGGGTCTCATGAGTAATTATTAGGGAACCTGCTTACTTCACAGAGAAAGTGAATCTTCTCTTATTAAGAAATATTATGGCTTGGAATATTCATATATATTTGTATATATTGCATGTTGTAGAGGCCACAGGTTTCAGGACATGTCTTATAAATCATCTGTATCCAGATTGCCTTGAGCATTCTGATATCCGATTGCTGGATCACGTACTGGTGAGACTGGTTTAGGATTTATTTATATATATAGTACTGTGCCAGGACCTTAGCCAGGCTCCACATGTGGCATGGATTTTCTTTTGCTCTGGTAGTCAGCAAAGTTAAGGGCCCCAAGGTAAGGTTGAATTTGATGACAAATGAGTGGCTACCAGACCTTTGAATTGTAGCCTGGTATAGTGGCACAGATCTGTAATTCCAGCACTCAAGAGAGTAGAGGCAGGAGGATCAGGAGTTCAAGGCCAGCCTGGCCTATATGAGATCCTGTGTCAAGTAGAAAAAAAAAAAAACATAAAAAGAGGTTTTTGAATTTTATTAATTTAATGTAGGATATTGAAAAAAACTATAGATTTTTTAATTCTTCTATCTTCAAGTCAGAATATTTTAGGTCCCTGGACCTATCTTTTTTTCTTACCTACATTGGTAAATGTGATTGGTTAACTGGCTTTCCAAATAGTCTCTTTTGGGGAAATTGACAAGCTTTACTTAAGGGCTTTCTCAGAAATTTTTATTTTTCTCTTAGATTCTCTTAACCTTCAAAGTGAATTTGTAGGGCTGGGGTTGTCATTCATTGGGAGAGTACTTGCCTAACAATATGAGGCCCTACATTCAATCTCAGTACTGCTAAAATGAATTTTTTTCCTATCATTTTCCTTTGATACCAAATTTTGTAGCAAATTCAAAAGGCACTTGGGAAAAGGAAGTTTTTTTTAATATTTTATTTATTATATTTATTTTATGTGTACGAGTGTATTGCCCGCATGTATGTGAGTGCACCCGTGCCGTGCAATGCCGCGGAGGTCAGAAGAGGGCTTCGGATTCCCCTGGAACTGGAGTTAAAGACGGTTCGTAGCTGCCATGTGGGTGCTGGGAATCGAATCCGGGTCCTCTGCAAGAGCGGTCAGTGCTCTTAACCTCTGAGCCATCTCTCCAGCCCCTGAGTTTTTTTATTTTTTATTTTTCCTTCTGAGCCACATTGTTTTTTGTTTGAATTTTTTTTTTTTTTGAGGCACGGTCTCAGAAAGGTTGACCTTGAACTTACTATGGAGCAAAAGATGACCCTGAACTTCTGATCCTTCTACCTCCATCTCCTGAGTGGTGGAATTACATGTGTGTACTACCTCCTATCCAGTTTATGCAATGCTGATATCAAGCCCAGGGCTTCAGACATTCTAGCAAGCTTTCTATATCCCTAGCCTAGCCTTGCCTTTTATTGTTTGTTTTGCTTTACTGGTTTCTTGGTTTTTGAGACAGGGTCTCACTATGTAGCCCATTCTGGCCTCAAACTTATGATCCCCCTGCCTCTGCCTCCCAAGTGTTGGGATTACATGTGTGTGCCATCATATTTTGAATCAGCCCAGCCTTCTGTCTCCAACAGAAGTTAGTAGAAACTATAGCAAGATCTGTCACCTGCCTTGGTATTAGTTCTACAAGTAAGAGATGGCTGCCAGGGGTGGTGGCACATACCTTTAATCCCAGCACTCAGAAGGCAGAAGCAAGCAGGTCTCTGAATTCAAGGCAAGCATGACTACAAAAAAAAGGTGATTCGGCCGGGTGTGGTGGCACATGTCTTTGATCCCAGCACTCGGGAGGCAGAGGCAAGAGGATCTCTGTCAGTTCAAGGCCAGCCTGGTCTACATAGTGAGTTCCAGGACAGCTGGGGCTACAGGGAGACCCTGTCTCAAAAAGACCAAAAAAGATGATTCATCCCAAATCCTGGGTTTCTTTGATTATAACGTATCTCATACTCATTTATTTAAACTTTTTTTAATTTAAGCTTTTTTCAAAGTTACAGGAAACATTTAACTAAATCCCTTATTACTAAGGCAACAAATTTCAATTTTACTGCTATATGATAATCTGTATGTGTGCCTGTGTGTGTGTGTGCACCTAGACGTCAGGGCTACACTGAGTCTTCCTCAGTTGCTCTCCATTTTTTTAAAAAAGTCTCTCACCTGGTGTGGTGGCTCACACCTTTAATGCCAGCACTCAGGGAGGTAGAAGTACGTGGGTCCCTGTAAATTAGAGGCCAGCCAGGGCTACAAAGTAAGGCCCAGTCTCAAAAAGAAGAAAGAGAAGAGGAAGAAGAAGGAGGAGGAGAAGGAAAATGAGGATCCCTGTAAATAGAGGGCAGGAGGAGAAAGAAGAGGAAGAGGAGGAAGATGAGAAAGAGGAAGAAAAGGAAGAAGAAGAGAGGAGGAGGAGGATCACCCCTGTAAATGAAAGGCTGGCCAGGGCTACATAGTAAGGCCCTGTCTCGAAAAGAAGAAGAAGGGTGGGGGTCTTTCACTAAATCTCAATCTGAGAATCTGGCTAGGTTGGCTGGCCAGTGAGCTCTAGGGATCCAACTTTCTCCGCTTCCCAAATACTGGGATTACAGTGATCTACCATACCCAGTTTCTTTTTTCCGGTCTTTTTAAGACCAGCTCTCCATGTAGCCCCAGGTGACCTGGAACTCACTATGTAGACCAGGCTGGCCTTGATCTCAAAAAAATCCGCTTGTCTCTGCCTCCTGAGTGCTTGGATTAAAGACGTGTGCTACCATGCCCAGCAACACACCCAGCTTTTCATGTGGATGCTGAGGATTTAAACTCAGGTCCTCACACTTGCCATGGCAAGCATTTTAACAACTAAGCCATCTCCCCACCCCCAAATTTCTTGTTACTATCTAAGTTTACAATAATTTTCAACTTCTACAAATATGTAGTTCTCATTTTTTACCCTGTGAATAGTTTATGTTTAACATGTATATACTTATGATTTGATAAATTATGGAGGTGAGAGGCAGACAGTTGTGTTCTTGCAACATCTGTATCATTAGAAACATCCCAATGTCATATAAAGCACCCTTTTTCAAAACTTTTAGTAGGCTTAATTCATTCTTTTCTTTTTCCTGGCAGATAGGTAGGGTAGTTCTATATTCTCTTATTTTTATTCTGTTTTAATTTTTGTTTTGTTTTTTGAGACAGAGTCTGACTATGTAGCACTGGCTAGCCTGAAACTCACTATGTAGATTGGGTCTGCCTCAAACTCATAGAGATTCACCTGCCTCTGTCTTCCATGTACTAGGATTAAAGGCGTGTGTCACCATGCCAAACTTAAAATTTTTATATGTGTGTGTGTGTGTGTGTGTGTGTGTGTGTGTGTGTGTGTGCTATAGCACATGTGGAAGTCAGGACAGCTTTCAGGAATTTTTTCTCACCTCTACCATGTGGATCCTAGGGCACAAATTCAGGTCACTAAACTTGATGGCTAGTGCCTTTGCCCACTGAGCCATTTTGCCAGCCCATTTTATTCTTTCTTTAAAAAAAATTTTTTTTTAGTGCCAGGCGTGGTGGCGCACACCTTTAAATCCCAGCACTCAGGAGGCAGAGGCAGGCAGATCCTCTGTGAGTTCAAGGCCAGCCTGGTGGTCTACAGAGCGAGTTCCAGGACAGCTGGGGCTACAGGGAGCCCTGTATCAAAAACACCAAAAAAAAAGTTTGTATTTTATTTATTTTTATTTAATGTGTGTGAGTATATTGCCGGCATGCATGTAATGCACCTGTGTCATGCAATGCCCACAGAGATTAGAAGAGAGTGTCAGATTCCCCTGGAACTGGAGCTACGGATGGTTGTTACCCACCATGTGGGTGCTGGGAATCGAACCTGCAAGAACAGCTACTGTTCTTAACTGCTAAGCCATCTCCAGCCCCCATTTTATTCTTTTATTGTTGTTGTGGAGCTTTTCTTTGTTTAAACTTTTTTAATTTGTTTATTTTTATTTTATGTATATGAGTGTTTTGCCTGAATGTATATGTGCACCACATATGTACAGTGCCTGTGGCAGCCAGAAGAGGGCATTGGATTGCCTGAAACTGGAGTTACAGATGGTTGCTAGCTACCATGTGGGTGCTGGGAACTGAACCCAGGTCCTCTGCAAGAAAAGTTAATGCTCTTGTTCATTGAGCCAGCTCTCCAGCCCGTTGTGTTTTTTGAGACAGGGTCTTATTATATAGTATTGACTATCCTGGAGCTCACTATGTAGAGCAGGCTGGCCTCAAACTCAGAGCTCCTCTTGCCTTTGCCTCCCAAGTGGTGAGATTAAAGTCATGTGCCTCCAAACCCAGCCCCATTTTATTTTTTTTAATTTTTTAAAAATTTTATTTATTTATTTTACATATATGAGTGTTTTACCTGCATGTATGTAAGTGCACCTGTGTCATGCAATGCCTGTGGAGATCAGAAGAGAGCACTGGATCCCCTGGAACTGGAGTTACAGATGGTTGGCTGTTCTACGTAATGTATGCTGGGAACTGAACCCAGGTCTTCTGGAAGAGCAGCCAGCACTTTTAACCACTGAGCCATCTCTCCAGCCCCCATGTTCTTTTTAGCTGTTTTATTCTCCTGTTGAGTTTATTGCTGTTAATATTTTGTATCATTTTTCCAGGGAGTCAGAAACTTTCTCAGTCTCAAGTGTCTAAATGTACAAGCTTCTGACCTGCTCTGTCTCCCTGCAGCCGTATGTGTCATTGGCTCAGCAGATGGCACCACCAAGTCCAAGCAACAGCACCCCTAACAGCAGCAGTGGGAGTAACGGGAATGACCAGCTGAGCAAAACCAACCTGTACATCCGAGGATTGCAACCAGGCACTACTGACCAGGACCTTGTCAAGCTTTGTCAGCCGTGAGTTGCAGTACAAGGAGGGAGGCTTCCTGGGGCAGGCAGATGTGCAGATGCTGGCTGCTTTTTCATTTTACTTTTTTTTTTCTTTCTTTCTTTCTTTCTTTTTCTTCTTTCTTTCATTCGTATTTTGATGCAGAGTCTGACGATGTACCCCTGGCACTTGCTATGTATCTTAACCTCACAGAGGTTTGCCTGTCTTTCTGCCTCCCAAGTGCATGTGCTGCCACATCTGGCATAGATGCTGATTTCTTTTTTTTTTTAAATATTTTATATATTATTTTTATTTTTGTGTATGAATATATTGCCTGCATATAGGTAAGTGCACCCATATTGTGCAATGCCCGTGGAGAACAGTAGAGATTGTCGGATCCTCTGGAACTGGAGTTACAGACAGTTATTAGCTGCCATGTGGGTGCTGGGATTCAAATCCAGGTCTTCTGCAAGAAAAACCAGTGTTTTTTTTGTTTTTTTGTTTTTGTCTTTTTGAAGCAGGGTGTCCCTGTAGCCCCAGCTATCCTGGAACTCACTACGTAGACCAGGCTGGCCTTGAACTCACAGAGATCCACCTGCCTCTGCCTCCCAAGTGCTGGGACTACAGGCACGCACCATCACGCCTGGCTAAAACCAGTGTCCTTAACCGCTGAGCCATCTCTCCAGCCCCGATACTGACTTCTTATACTGAATTATGCAAAGTATTTCAGAATCCCCTCCTGTTGCTTTGTTGTTGCTGCTGTTTGTTGGTTTTAGGGCTTTTTCATAAATTTTTTATATACATATATATATTTTTTATATACATGAGTGTTTTGCCTGCATATATGTAAGAGGACCTGTGTTGTGCAATGCCCAGAGAGGCCAGAAAGAGGGTATGGGAATCCCTGGAACTAGAGTTACAGACAGTTGTGAGCCACCATACGGATTTTGGGAATCAAACCCAATTCCTCTACAAGAGCACTCAGTGTTCTTAACCACTGAGCCATCTCTCAGCCCCATGGAAAAAAAAAATTTAATCACTTGCCACACAAGCCTGACCACCTGAGTTTGACCCTAGAACCCACATAAAGGTGGAATGAAAAAACTGACTCAACAAAGTTGTCTTCTGGTGCCACACACACACACACACACACACACACACACACACACCATGGCACATGAGCACCCCCCAACAGGCTACACATACCATATATACACACACACAATAATAATTAAATTAAATTAAAAAGAAAGTCTTAGGCCAGGTGTAGTAGCAAACGCCTTTAATCCCAGCACTCAAGAGGCAGAGGCAGGCGGATCTCTGTGAGACTGAGTGAGGTCTACATAGTGAGGGCAGCTGGGACTACAGGGAGACCCTGTCTCAAAGAGACAAAAAAAATTTTTTTTAAATAAAATTAAAAAAAAAAAAATTCTTACCTGTAGTCTCGGCACTCAGGAGGCCAAGACAAGAGGATGGTAAAGACAAGGCCAATGTTGTGTTTTAGAAAAATTCCCCCTCGTGCTGGTTTGTAAAATTTTTGTTTTCTCTGAGGGAAGCCAAGATGAGGCTGGCCTTTAAAGCCTGGTTTCTGATTTCATTTCCTTTAATTCCAGCATTTCTCCAGAGTCTATAGCTTTAGTAGGAAGGTTGCTGTTCTTACACATGGTCTTTGTTTCTTTTTCTTTTTCTTTTTTTTTTTTTGGTCTTTTTGAGACAGGGTCTCTCTGTAGCCCCAGCCCCAGCCCCAGCTGTCCTGGAACTCACTATGTAGATCAGGCTGGCCTTGAACTCACAGAGAACCGCCTGCCTCTGCCTCCTGAGTGCTAGGATTAAAGGCGTGCACTACCACATCTGGCTCTTTGTTTCCTTTTCAATTGCTATGATAAAAGTAACTGACAAGCTGGGCATGGTGGCACACTGATCTCTGTGAGTTCAAGGCCAGCCTGGTCTACATAGTGAGTTCCAGGACAGCTGGGGCTACAGGGAGACCCTGTCTCAAAAAGAAAAAAAAAAAAAAAGTAACTGACAAAAGTAACTTCAAGGAGAATGGAGAAAGGGTTTATTTTGGCTCATAATTCAAGGGTTTATCCTATCATGGTAGGGAAGTCAAGGAGCTTGAAACAGCTGGTCACATTGCATCCACAATCAGGAACAGAAAACAGTCCAGGATCCCAGCCAGGGAATGGCACCACTCACAGTAGATGAATCTTCTGACTTCAGTTAATGGCACCCAAGATAAAACCCTCACAGGTGTGCCTAGAAGTGTGTCTCCCACGTGATGCTAGAGTCTCTCAAGTCAACAGTTAACACTAACTAACCCACACTTGGGCCATAGAAATGCTAACCTTTTCCTGTGTGTGTGCGTGTGTGTGTGTGTGTGTGTGTGTGTGTGTGTGTGTGTGTGTGTTAGGCAATCTACTGTGCTACATCCCCAGCCCAAGAAACTCAGTTTGCCTTTTCTGTTCTCTAAGGCTTTCATTTTTACCCTTCTGAAGTGTCTGAGTGGAGGGGGACTAGTCAGCATGTAGGATGGAATTTGATTCCATAGGAAGTGTGAAGTAGATGGGAAAGCTGTGGGTGTTGGCTCATGCCTGTGCTCCCAATACGTTCTTGGAGCCTGAGGCAAGAGGATTGCCTTGATGTGGGTGAGCCAGGAGTACAGAATGAGACCCTATCTCAAAAAACAGAATCAACGGGCTGGAGAGATGACTCAACAGTTAAGAGCACTGGCTGCTTTTGCAGAGCCTCCCCCACCACCCCATTCAATTCCCAGCACCCACATGGCAGCTAACAACCATTTGTAACTCTAGTTCCAGGGGATTTGACCTCCTCTGAATGCATTGCATGACATAGGTATGCTTACATACAGGTAGATCTCTGTGAGACCGAGGCCAGCCTGGCCTACATAGCAATTTCCAGGCCAGTTGGGACTACAGGGAAACCCTGTCTCAAAAACAAAAACAAGAACAACAAAAAAACAGAATCAGTTAAAAAAAAAAAAAAAAGAAAAGAAAAAGAAAAAGAAAGAAAGAAAAAGAAAAAAAGTGAGGTGTGGGGATTGGGGAGTGAATGTGAGGATGGCATGGGGCTGGATGGAAGGGAACAGGCATTTCTAGAGTGTTTTTTATGCACCAAAGGACTTCCTGCCTTTGTTCTAGTGATCTCTTCCTGGGTTGTTGGGAAGTAAATGTCCCTGGATCCTAAAGTCTGTGGGCTGGGCCTGGAGCTCTTGGTTCTCTTGGAGGGGCTCCTTCTGAGGAGGAAGCAGCAGTGACCCAGCTGTTGCCAGATGCAGTGGAAATTCTGAGCTCAAAGCCTCTGGCCGCTATTCCACAGCAGGCTCCACCCTGGGGCCTTGCTGGGGATGGCAGCTTGGGTGTCCTCTGGCAGACAGTCACTTCTCATAATTGACTAAATTTGGACAAGAATCCAAGTATGCAGCCCTGAAGGGCTAGGATCACCACATGTGTCCCCACCCCCTTTTAATGTGCTCTCTTCCCAGCCTCCAGGGTATTGCTGTCTTATTCTGTCTAATCCTTTAGGCCCCAGAAGCTCCACTGAAAAAAGTCAGTGGGAGGCAGCCAAAGAGTGAAAACAAATCAATCATCATTTGTTCTTTAGGGATAAGAGCACGGATTTAAAAACATACTTGTTTAGGGTATTGGTCTCAAATCTAGTTCCTGCCAACTGTTTCCAGCCAGTCCTTTACTTTTTACTTTGTTAGTGGTTGCTGTTCTATCTCTTTAATATTTTCACACTACTGGAATAAAATATAGAGTGTGTTTCTAGTGGAACACTTGTCACAAAGCCCCAGATCTTTGCTGCTCCATGCCCCTGCTGCCAACCAGGGTGTCCAAAAAGTTGAAAAACATGAATACCATACAAATATATACTGAACACATGAAACAGATTATTTGAACTCATTAATGAGGGAACCAGCAAGATGGAAAAATCAGTTCAAAAAGCATTTGAGAAACTATTGGCACTAAAGAATGTTGGAATAAGATTCCAGTCGGGGAGACACAGGAGGGTTACATGACCTCTCCAAGCTCACGCATAGCTAGAAAGTAGCAGAGCCAGGATTAGAGCCAAAGCAATTTGGCTCAAATTGACCTTGATCAGTAGATTTCCTCTGATGAGGAAAGAATATTTATTATTTTTAATAGGATGAATGGCATTTGTCCAGAAAAAGAGTAATACCAAAGATTATTTCTGCTCCTCAAGGAATTCCAACCAGAGCTCTGCCCTTACACAAACTACGTAGCCATAGCCAAACTTTTCCCTCCAAAGTATCTGAGTCTTAATTAAGGAAAAAAAGATAAATGTGTTGACATTGTAAAGACTGTTGTAGTCACTTTAATTCTTATATTAGCCTTTGTGCATAATGTGATGGTTAATCCTGTTTGTTTGTGGTTTTTTGTTCTTTTTTGTTTTTGTTTTGTTTTGAGACAGGGTCTCAATGTGTAGCAATGGTTGGCCTTTGTAGACCAGGCCAGCATTGAACTCACAGAGAGCTCCACCTGCCTCTGCTTCCCAGGGCTGGGATTAAAGGTGTGATGGCTGATCATGATTGTCAGCTTGACTGGACTGAGAAGCATTGGATCAGTTACTTCTCTCATTACTGTGAGAAAATATCTGACAAAAAGCAGTTTTCAAGAGAAAGGTTTATTTTGGTCTGCAGTTGGATACTATCCATCTTGGTGGGGAGCGCATAGGAGCAGGAGTATGGCGGGTCATAATGCAGAGAGCAGACAGGTGGGACTGGCCTATAGAACCTTAACCTGCCCCCCAGTCACCTTCAGTGAGGCTGCACCTTCTAAATGTTTCATAACCTTTTAAAACAGCAGCACCAGCCAAGTAGTCAAACGTATGAGCCTCCATTCAAACCACACTAAGCTCCTAGGAGATTAGTAAAGTACACCTCTGAGTTATGCCTGGGAGGGCTTTTCCAGGGAGATTTAACTAAGCAGGGACAACCCTCCATGAATGTAGGTGAGTCTATACCATAGGCTGGGGCCCCAGATGTAATAAAAAGAGGAAAAAAGAGGAAACCCACTGGTGAAGTATTCATATTTGCTTAACACCACCACCACCACTACTATGGTATGGCTGTTTTGCTATACTGCAATTTCACTGATGTGACGGTCTGAAACTACGAGCCAAAAGAAATCTTTCCTCCCTTTAAAAAGGTGTTTGAGTCTGGCATTTTGTCACAGCAATGGAAAAAATAACACAAGTGGCATTTTAAATTCACTTCTTTTTTTATTTTTCATAAGATGAGTAAGAAAGAGACTGGAAGGTGGCTCAGCAGTTAAGAGCACTGGCTGCTCTTGCAGAGGTTCGATTCCCAGCACCCACATGGTGGCTAACAACCATCCATAACTCCAGTTCCAGGGATCCAATGCCCCCTTCTGACCTCAGTGGTCATTGTATGGCACGGGTGCACTTACATACATGCAGGCAATGCACTCATACACGTGAACTAAAAATAATATTTTTTTTAAAGATGAGAAGGAGGCCCGGTGTGGTGGCACATGCTTGTAATCCCAGCACTTGGGAGACAGAGGCAGGTGGATCTCTGTTGAGTTCAAGGCCAACTTGGTCTACATGGTGAGTTCCAGGCCAGCTGGAGCTACAGGGAGACCCTGTCTCAAAAAATTAATTAAGGGTTAATTAATTAAATAAATAAAAGGTGAGTAGGCGAAAAAGAAAAAACAAACAAAAAAAGATGAGTGGGAAAAATTGTACTACTAGAAGCAGAGAAAGGGCTTGGATTCATCTAGATATTTTTGTCTTTATCCTGTTCTTGGTCGCTGTCCCCAGATCATCACTTTGCATTTTCCTTTCCCTTAGATATGGCAAGATTGTCTCCACTAAGGCCATCCTGGACAAAACCACAAACAAGTGCAAAGGTGAGAAAACAGCTGCCCGTGATGGCAGAGCAGCCCTGAGAGGCCCAGCCTTGCCTCTGCCTTCTGCTAGAAGCATGAGTACTTGCCAGGAAGGAGCCTGTGAGGCTTCAGGCTTAAAAGACCAGTAGATATTTAGATTCATTGGCAAGAGAGCTAGAGCTGAACATGTTAGGGAACCCAAGGCCAGAAGGCTGCGTGCAGCTCCCCTGAGTGCCTTGGCCTCACTCTACACCAAATGCCTTCCCGGATGGGGCCGTGCAGGTGGGCAGGAAAGACTTCTCCTTACCAATGTAAACACCTTTTTGTGGAGATGGGAGGACAACTCAATAGTTACTTTCCAATGGTGAATAATTTTGTAGGGTTTTGAGCGTTTCAGAATGAGCTGGAAGCATGGAGGAGGTTGGGGTAGGGAGGGACTTCTTGGAGCTGGTGGCTGATTGCTCTGGAGAGACTGCATTTTCTGTGCTTCATCTTATGACTCTGGGCTCTGTTTAGAAAAGAGGTAGGGGGTACATGATGTCGCTGGGCGTGGTGGCGCATGCCTTTAATCCCAGCACTTGGGAGGCAGAGGGGGATCTCTGTGAGTTCAAAGCCAACCAGGTCTACATAGCGAGTTCCAGGCCAGCTGGGCTACAGGGAGACCCTATCTCAAAAAGCCAAAAAAAAAAAAAAAACACATTGTGCCTGGGGTTTATTTAACAACTTTGATCCTGAAGCCTTAGCTTTTTAGGAGGAAAGTCAGGAACACCACGGGACCTCATTTCCCTTGACATTCTTAGCCACAGAATGGACCAACCTCAGGGTGAGAGGGTCACGTGGATAATCACCTGAAACCTCTTAATTTCTCTTTCTCCCTGCTATGTCCCTTACATGGACCATATCTCTTCCTCTGTCTCCTGAAAAGCCTGCGCCTCCTACCTCTCTTACACCTCCCACCTCCCCGTGATGCTGTTTCCCTGTTCCAGGCTATGGCTTTGTGGATTTTGACAGTCCTTCAGCAGCACAGAAGGCTGTAACTGCATTGAAAGCCAGTGGTGTGCAGGCACAGATGGCAAAGGTAAGATAACTGCCCCACGACTGCTTCCCTGGGGGTTGCAGTCAGCATTAAAGTCCCAGTTTCAAGGCTCCCAGATGCTTAAGCATGTGGGAACTGTTTGCAGAGCTTTGATAGTGGCCAGCCACAGGCAGGTTGAGCCTGGATCCACCTGGACTGCTGGAAGAAGATTGTGTTCATCCATGGCAGGCAGGAGGGCAGACCTCTCAGAGCACTTCTGCTGCCTCTGTCTCTACCCTGGCCCCACTTCCCTACACAGATGGTTGTAGTTTTGCAACTCTCTGAGACCTATTGTGCAACTCAGGTTGTAAAGTATGCTGCTCTCCAGTCTGACATTGTTCCCTATAGGGCAGGGAGTGAGCTAGGGAAGGGAAGAAAGCCAGAGCAAGTGAGGGAAAGAACTGGGCCTTCTGCTCAGATCTGCCCAGAGCTGGGGGTTTTGTATACTTGTTTTTTTGTTTTTCTTGTAGATCACTAGAAGGCTAGAAGTCTTTCTGGCATTCCTTTACCGCAGGAAGGGTTGTCCCCTTGCTTTGCTGAATCATCTTGAATACTATGAAGAATTTGATAAGAGCAGCCAGCCTTTTCTATGAGGGTTAAAAGAAAAATGGTGCTGGGTATAGTGGCTCGGGTCTGTAATCCCAGCACTTAGGAGGCAAAAGCAGGACTGCTAAGAGTTCAAGTCCAGCCTGGGCTACAGAGTGAGACCCTGCCTCAAAAACAAACAAACAAACAAAAATCTAAAGATAAAAGAGGAACTGAGGCTGCTGGGGACCACTGACTAAGTCAGAGTAATGACTTACATTCTTCTTAAAAATACAGATGTGGTGGCATACGCTTATGATCCAGCACTTAGGAGGAGGAGACAGGAGGATCAGGAGTTAACTTCATCCTTGGCTACATAATGAATTTGAGGCCAGCCTATGCTACATGGAACCCTGTCTCAAAAAGAAAGCAAAACAATAAACAATAAACACATGCACACATACACACACACACACATACACACAAACCCCACAGCTCCAGGACAGTACTGTTATTGTACATATTCTGCCCTCTAGGAGCTCCCCACCACCCAATGAAGCCTCTCACTACAGCTCAGTGTTTCAGGAGCCCTTTGGGGTCCCAGGAAACTAGGCCTTTCAGGGCTTGGGGTGATCCACTGAGATACACATCTAGTCCTTTCTCTGTTTCCTTCTCTCTTCCTGCTTCTCTTTGATCAGAGAGTGACCAGGTATTCCCACTTAGAAGATTCTGCTATGGTGGAAGAGGGAGCAAGAAATTACTCAGAACTATGAGCCTGAGAAGACAGCCAAGGGAATACAAGCTCTGGGCCAGGATACTGGGTGAAAGGGGAGCTGCTCTGCCTGGTTCTTAAAAAGAGAAGCCAGACATCGTTGGTGGCTTGTATTACTAGAATTGTACAGTAATAGAAAAAATAAATCTGCTTTATTTTGTTGTTCCTTAACTCAATATATAGCCCATGTTAATGGGACTGGATAGTTAAGATTCTCTTTGTTTGGGACCTTTCCTCTTTCTTTGCTCAAATGTCATTTGTAGATGAGGGCTTAGAGTGGGATGCGCAGAGATCTGAGCCTCATTTTTTCACTTTTATGTTTATAGCAACAGGAACAAGATCCTACAAATTTATACATCTCAAACCTCCCTCTGTCAATGGATGAACAAGAACTGGAGGGGATGCTGAAGCCCTTTGGCCAGGTTATCTCCACCAGAATCCTCCGAGACACCAGTGGGGCTAGCAGAGGGGTTGGCTTTGCAAGGTAAGGGATGGTAAAAGTGGCTAAGAAAAAATGTCGTGGGTAAAAGCACTTGCCACCAAGCCTAATGACCTGAATTTGATCCTGAGAACCCTTCCATATGGTGGAAGGAGAGAACCAACTGCCACAGGTTTTCCTCTGACCTCACACACACACACACACACACACACACACACACTGTGGCCTTTCCCCCTACAGGAACCAGAATAATGGTCAAAAATACTTGATAAGAATTGGGAAGATAGCTCATCAGATAAAAGTCATTTGCTGCCAAGCCTGACAACCTGAGTTTGATCCCTGGGAAAAAACTGACTCTGGCTAGTTATCCTCTGACCTCCACATGCACACTGTGGCATGCACACACAATAAATAAATAAAATAAGGAATTTTAAAAATACTTGATAGTAAATCAGGTTTATTTTATTTTTGTGTGTGTGCTGAATATTGAACCCAGGACCTTGTATGTACCTCAAACTTGGAGGAAGACTCCTGCCTCTGCCTTCCAGGTGCTGAGATTACAGGTGTGTGCCACCATGCCTGGCAAGACTTGAGGTCTTCCTCTCCCCACTACCTCCAAGTAGCCTAGCTTTTGTTCCTTGGATCCAGATCCAACCAGAGCAAAATAATTCTGTATATTTTTACAGCTAAGGAGTTTTTATTCTGCTACCTCATTTGAACTAGAAAGTTTGTAAGGTAAAATAGTCTCCATTTTACAAATGAGAGGGAGCAACTTCCCCTGAGAAGTGCCTTTCCCAGTCTCCCAGGAGTGGGTGACAGAGCAGAGACCCGATCCTCTGGCTTCAGATCAGCAGGACAAAGTGGAAGGTTTGCTCCATCTTTTCAGATGTTGGGAGACCTATATTCTAGAACAACCTCTTCCATAACTGTCCCTATGGTAGCAGACATGTATGATGAACCTTGGCTTTCCCTGGAGAGACTGATTTAAATGAGAGATTTTTTTTTCATCTTTTTGAGACAGGGTCTCCCTATAGCCCCAGCTGGCCTGGAACTCTCTATATAGACTAGACTGGGCTCAACACAAAGAGATCCACCTGCTTCTGCCTCTTGAGTGCTAGGACTAAAGGCATGGGCCACCACACCGGCTTGAGATTCTATTGATTTTTTTCATTTTGAGAAGTACTGTGCTATGTGATTTGAGCAACCCTTTGTGTTTCTATCTGTTCATGAACACTCCCTTTGAGCGATTCAGAGACGGGATAAACTGGGTGGCCCACACCTGTAATGCCAGCATTTAGGCGGTGTAGGCAAGGGGATCAGGAGTCCCTGGGCTACATGAAACTGTCTCAAAGAATGCAGTGATAACACCCCCACCCCCCACCC